TCGTCGTCTGATTCAGATCCGAGACATTCGTGTGCATACACATATAAATACACCTACAACATACACATACGCATACGCGTACGCATACGCATACGCATACGCATACGCATACGCATACGCATAGACATAGACACAGATACAGACACAACCACAAACACAAACATACACATATGTGTATCTACGTCCATAAACGTCCACAACACGAGCCACCCACCTGCGACTGCTGCCTCTGCTGTGCCTGCGCCTGTGCTTTCTGAGCGTGTTGCTGTGTGTTGTGCTGCTGCTGTGCATGAAGCTGAGCGGCGTGGGTCCCAGAGGGATTTGTGAGATTTGTCGAGTTTGTCGTACCAGCGTTGGCAGCCGTCACAGCGGTGTGTACTCGCTCGGATGCCGAGGATAAGCTTTTCGCCGCAAGAGCCATGGGTGTTAGAGGGGCGCTGATATTGACACCTGCCTGGATGGATGCCTTATTGACAATATACAAGTATGCGGATTTGTATTGAAGTATATGAGGATGTCATTCAATACAGGTATATATAATAATATAATATATATATATATGCTTTTATATTTTGATACTATCGGCATAAAAGCGTATATATGCTACAGTGAGAAGATATGTAAAGGATTTGGAATGAAAGTGTACATAACAAGTGTCCACACTTATCGACAATAGCCATAGGCAATAGACACATAGATACATAGATACATATATACATATATACATATATACATAGACACATAGATACATATATACATATATACATAGATACATAGACACATAGATACATAGATACATATATACGTAGATACATAGATACATATATACATATATACATAGATACATACACATATACATACATACATACATGCATACATACATACATACGTACATACATACATACATACATTCATACATACATATATACGTACATACATACATACATAAATACGTACATTCATTCATACTTATAGACATATAGACATATACATAACAAAATTACATACATACATACATACATACATACATACATACAAACATACATACATACATATGTAATTGCATACATACATACACCCACACTCATATACATACATACATACATACTTGCATACATATATACATGCACACATATGCAACAAAGAGTGTGGCTTCACCTGTCGAATTGCCAAAATTAATGGCAAAAGCACCTTATATCCCCAGTACATGCCTTTATACCACGATATGCGACATGTACAGGCGAGAGATAGGAATGTGTATACCTCAAGCGGCCCCAATAGTCCATAAAACTGGTGCAAATCGCACCTTACATCCTAAATTTGGACCGAGACGTACCTTCTCATGAGAAAGATGCGGTTGTGAAGTACTGGAGGTAGCAACTGGTTCGGACTTTCTTGGTTGTGCAACCCTTCGGATGGTGTCCAAAATAGCGATGTGCCGATTCTGTGTAGAATAGGGGGTGGTGAGGAATAGGGGGTGGTGATGAAATAGGGGGTGGTAATGAATTAGGGGATGGTGATGAAATAGGGGGTGGTGATGAAATAGGCAATGGTGTGGGTATGCATCTGTATATAAACTGATGTTTCCATGCTGTGTACAATAGGGGGTGGTGATGAATTAGGGGATGGTGATGAAATAGGGGGTGGTGAGGAAATAGGGGGTGGTGTGGGTATGCATCTGTGTATAAACTGATGTTTCCATGTTGGGTAAAATAGGGGGTGGTGATGAAATAGGGGGTA